TTTTATAAATGAGTGTTTAGTTGTATACATTGAAAAAAGTTTGAGTCTCAAAATAAACAATGAATGTATTTTATAAATCTTTTATAATATGAGCCGTCACATGTTGTTTTTAGCAGTTAACCAGACTACAATTTAGAAAACCATTCACCTATAGTTTGTACAAAATATTATTACTTTGTAGTAGTTCTGAAAATGAATATTAATTTAAAGAATTCTACATCGCTTTTGTGTATTCAATACTGTAATTCGATATGCAATATCTCAGGCAATGAAATTTGGGTCGCAATTTTAAGATTGTCCGAAATTGTATAGGTTATAAAAAATTATAAATCACGTATTAAACTTTATTTTTTAGAAGATTTAATAGGCTAGATAACCTTGATGGAAAAGTTCTCTGCTTTTCAAAACTTAGGTTAGTGTATGTTTACAATTTAAAAAGATAAAACAAATTTTTTTAGTTTAATTGGTTGCGATTATTGTTTTTATTCGAAGAGACCATGGATCAAATCTTGATATTGATATTTTTCTACTTTCACTCTCAATTCACGAAATTTAAAATGCAAAATCTTAAAATATTAATGTATCTTATAGAAAGCGCTTCTTCAACCAAGTAGGAAATGTGTTTTACCTGAAATAATTATATCTTAGAGAAAGTGATTAATTGTGAAATCGAAACTCAAGTAATATTGATTCAAACATTAGATATTAAATTGTATGTATGGTTCACTTTAGACAAAATACATACGTGTATCCAAAACATGGACCTTTGTGACAAATATAGTAATTTTTTGTGACAATCTACACATAATATAAAGATAAATTGGGAGCAATGACGAAAAAGAGCTTCCTAGAATCACTCTAAGACCACGAAATTTGAAATGAGACTCTCATTTTTCAATTTTATTATTATATTATGTGTATATTTGACATAAAAAATGAATAAACTCGTCACAAAAGCCCATGTATTAGTTACACTTCTGTAATTTGTCTAAACTAAACTAGACATACAATTTAATATTAACGTTTGAATCAATGTTACTTGAGTTACGATTTCATAACTAATATATTTCTGTAAAATATAAATAACTTAAGATAAAATATAAATATAAAAGCATCATTACGAAACATATTTCTAGAGTTTAGTCAAAAGAATAACAATAAGACAATGCAACATTATTGGTTATATTGCTCTTTTTTCATTTAAGTGACCAATATTCGAACTCCAATGATAACGTTTTTAATATATAAAGATGAACTGTGTACAATGACAAAAAAGACATTTCTACAATTACTCTCAGGTCCCCTAAAAATGAGCATTTTCAATTCATGTTTTACGACTACTGATGGTTATTATTCCTCCATTTTCATACAAGATGTGTTAGATGTAGGAGTTCAACCTACACGGCCTCGGTGGCTCGGTCAGCTAGGCAATGGAAATTATGAAGCACCAGATGCAAATATAACATGTGGACAAATAATACTTTGGGGCCTGACTCAGGGTTTCTCCAAACGAGAAAAGGAGCTGTATCAGAAGATTTGGGCTAATGTAGTTGGGCCTGCGAGTGTGTGTGACAGTGGGTCTGGGTCATGCATTGGGGCTGGGCTTCTTTTGGTCGGAAAATCAGAGTTCTGTTTGGACAATAAGTTGTGCCGGCAAACGACTACCCAATTGATTGAGTGCTAGTTTTTTTTTTTTTGTGTGTGAATTTGAGTGCTAGTTTGATTATGTCTAAACTTGAATCACTGTCAGTTAAATTGTATTACAGGATTGTTGATATGCAGTTGCAAGAATAAATCCGATTTTCAGAATTGTAATATAGGTGTATTTCGAAATTTGACTTTCATAAGACAATGCCAATACCTAACTTTTTGAACAAAATAAAGAACAAAATCAAGATTTTTTAACAAACTGCAAACCAAACATAGATGATTTATCTGGGAACATATTATAAACTAGATTATTAGTTGATTTACTTCTGGGAAACGTGACCGTCGGCGAACAGAGTAATGGAGTCGCCTTCCCCAACAATCCCACCCAAAAGTGCATCAGCCAATGGATCTTCAACAAGCCTGACAATCGCTCTCTTCAATGGCCTCGCTCCATAGCTCACACTATAGCCTTCCTTTATCACCTTGCTCTTCAATCCATTCTCCACATCGTATTCAATCCCCTTCGAAACCCTAATCCTCTCCGTCACTTCCCTAATCATAATCTCAACGACCGCCTTCACCTCCTCGCCCTTCAACGCCCTGAAAACTACAATCTCGTCGATCCTGTTCAGGAACTCAGGCCGGAACCTTGCTTTCAGCTCCTCCGCAACTTTCAAATTCGCTTCATCGTCTTCAACCCCTTGCTTCGATATCACAATGCCCTGTCCGATGTTCGATGTCATGATGATGATGGCGTTTCTAAAATCCGCCTTCCGTCCAGTCCCTTCCGTCAGAGAACCGTAATCGAGGATTTGGAGAAGGGCGTTGAAGACGCTGGGATGGGCCTTTTCAATTTCGTCGAAAAGAACGACGGAGCTAGGTTTCCGGCGGATTGATTCCGTCAATTGACCACAGGTTTCGTGGCCGATATAGCCAGGCGGAGCTCCAAAGAGCCTCGACACGTTGTGCTTCTCCATATACTCGCTCATGTCGATTCTAATCACCGATTCCTTAGACCCGTAGAACTCCACTGCCAACGCGTTGGCCAGCTCTGTTTTTCCGACGCCGGTTGGGCCGGTAAAGAGAAAGCTAGCCACAGGTCGGGTTGGATCCCTGACTCCAGATCTGGCCCGTCGGACAGCTTTGCTTACCGCCTTCACAGCTTCTTCCTGCCCAATTATATGCCGCCGAAGCTTCTCTTCCATGTTCAGAAGCCGAAGGGACTCGTCGGCGGTCACAGACTCCAGAGGAATTTTAGTCACCATGGAAATTACCCGACAAATGTCTGCCACCGTGACGACGTCGCTTCCGTTGAGATGGCTTCTCGCTCCGGCTTCGTCGATCAGGTCGATCGCCTTGTCGGGGAGAAACCTCTCCCTTATGAACTGATTGGACAGCATGACGGCGGCAACCAGAGCCTTGTCTTCGTAGCGTACGCCATGAAACGTCTCGTATTTGGAGCGCAGCCCTTGCAGAATCTCGGTAGCTTCAGCAACAGGCGGTTCGGCCACGTCTACGCTCTGGAACCGCCGCTTCAGGGCACCGTCCTTTTCGATGTAGTTCCTGTACTCGTCCACCGTCGTAGCACCAATGCACTGCCAGAAATTCAATCGTTAAGAGTTGTGTTTTAAGAAAACATGGAGACTACCAAGTATTACATTACGAAGAGAAATAGAAGAGAACTTTAATTTCTCCTCTGGCCAGAGCTGGCTTCAGAATGTTGGCAGCATCCAAGGGGCCGGAGCCACCTGCTCCAACCAAGGTATGCAATTCGTCGATGAACAGAATGATGGCTCCTTGGCTTGATTTCACTTCGTCAATCACTTTGATAAGCCTCTCCTCGAATTCTCCTCTGTGCGCAGCTCCGGCGATCAGGCGTCCCATGTCTAATGAATATATCTGATGATTGTGGGAGTGGTTATTGATAATGATACGTCATATTGTTGGTTGTGTTAAGTAAGATTGTATGAAGAAGGGGGAAAACATCTCATAATATGTACCTTCTTCCCAAGAAGCTTTGGAGGGACGTCGAGAGCAACGATTTTCGCAGCGAGTCCCTCGATGATAACCGTCTTGCCAACCCCAGGGTCTCCAACCAGACATGGGTTGCATTTTTTGCGCTTACAGAGGATCTGGGTCACCCTTTCGATTTCCTGCTTGCGTCCAGTCACAGGATCAAGCTTGCCCTGCAATCCAATAGATGAACAGAATTAATGATCAGAAACAATGGTAAACTAGCTAGAAGGGATTCAATCAGGTTGGAAGGATTCTTAAATATTCTTGCCTCCTGAGCAGACTTTGTTACATCGTTGCCGTACTTGTCGAGAAATTCAGTCAGTAGATCAGCACCTTGTTGCTTCTTCTCCAACTGTTCCATTTTTCTCTGTATAGTAGGAGGTGGCTTACTGTCTTACTAGTTTGATGTTGTGAATGAATGAATGAGTTGAAAGCCAATGCATCTATTTATACATGGTGGGTAGAAGAAGAGAGGTCGCAAATGATATAGTGATTGGAGTTCCCCAAAGGCGTAATAGCACCACAGTTAACGAAGGAGCATATATAGGAATATGGAAACTTTCATTTTTGTTAATTAATTCAAGTTTGGTTACAATCTTCAATCCCCTTTGCATTGCATGGTCAGTGCGCTGGGAATTTCAGGGAATTATTTTCCCTTTCCCGTTGTTGTATTCGTATAGATTCCTGCGTGGCTTATGATTACCAATTTTTTGTAGTTTGATTAATTAAATTGACACATTAATACATTAGAGTGTTTCTTTCTTAAGCCTTTTTTTTACTAATTTTCTTAAGGCATTATATTCATATAAGATATATATATATATATATATAGTTTCAGAACGTATAATTTTGAATTTTGGGTTTTATGTCTAAAATATAGAAACTTGAGGCTATTGTTTCATGCCTAAACAATTATTCGTCGCTTTTACTTTGGGAATAATGTGGTTCATATTGGGTTTGGACTTTTGTACTCATGTTTTAAATTTGTTTAAGAGTCAAAAACTCTATTTTGAATTTACAATTCAGTGTGTTAACATTATGAGCAGACATATGAGTGGTTAACTAAAGATTTGATATCGAACCGCCCGTTAATCAGCCGAACCGCATTGGATGAGTGATTAATGACGGTGCATTGTGAATTAATTAACTTGCTAGTTCACTAATTCAATAGTTGAACACTAACATGAACTCAAAAACAATTTATAAATTCAAGACTCTAATTTTTTTTATACTATATATGATACATGTGTTTAATATTACGATGAAAAAAAGGATTGATAGTAAATCTTTCATGATTAATTGATCACACGCTTATATACTGATATACTCTGTTGGTATCGTATTTACCTTTATAAATTCTAAATAGTTCATATCATGTTAATAAATAGTATAATATACCATCATAAATAAATCTCATTATGAATTATAAATGAGACATATATGGTCACATGCTCAAATTCCTAAACCATCCTATTTTTTGAAATATATAATCTAATAAAGCTATGAACCATTAAACCAACTTTGGTAACTTGTGACTGTTCCACGGTCGATGGTGGCGAAGAACATGGAAGAGGGTCAGATCGACTAGAACTAGAGAAGAACTGCAAAAATCATGTGTTGTGGGGGCTCTTGAGTGAGCGAGGATGAAAAGCGAGAATAGGGAGAAAAGAATGGAGCGACAAGGAGAGGTCCATGCAATTCCTCAGTTGTGTGTTATGAGTGTTCGAGTTCGACCTAAAATTTTGATTCCAAATAGAGGAAGGAAGCGACGGTCCCATTCTGGGTAGATTAGCTGCATATTTTTATTTTGGTCAGTTAGTCGCCTAATCTTTCCTAATGTCGATTAATCCTGCTCCAAGTCGATTAATTGTCTGCACATGAACGTCAAATTGTCTGCACATGGTCTTGACGAAGCGTCCTATCTGCCCAGTGCTTAGGCGTACGTGGAATTACACTTTCATGAACCCTGCCAACTTATAAGCTATAGAACAAGTTATTAAGAAGTTGCTAGTTTAGTTAGCTCGCTAGCTAGCCACACATTGCTGAGCCAACTCATGAGCTCAAAACTAAATCAAACTAGTTCGCGAGCCTCACAACTTTGACTCGTTAGTAAACGAGCCCGAACATCAAATCAAGCTTAGTTACAACAATAGCTAACTATTTCCAAACCATAGTTATTTGTGGGAGCTAGTGGAACGTAAACGACTTAGGTCGTCTTTGGAATGGAATTACGAAGAATCACCTGATACAAATATAACATGTGGAAACAAGCATTAACAACTTCTCATTATCACATAACCAGGCATATGTGATCAAGTAGCTAGCCAAACTGCCTTGCAGTCTTTATTGAGGAAGATTTATTCAGCAGAACAAGTGACGAAGGGCGCCACAATGGTGTAATGGTAGCTAGGAATTGCATCTAAGTTCAGGAAGATGCAGGGGGCCGGGGGAACTAGCTAGCAAGCTGTCTAGCTTAATTAGAGTTGGGAGTTTGGATGAGGAAAGCCATGCACTGGACCTGTTGGATGTTGTCGAAGGCGAGGCAGCGGATGTAAGCATTAGGGTAAGTCTGCTTGCATTGCTCAATCTCGTTCAGCACCTGGGATGAATCGTTGCAACCGAACATCGGCAGCTTCCACAGAGTCCAGTACCTGCCGTCGTAGTACCCGGGCATCCTGCTGTTCTCCCTGTACACATATCCCACCTGCACTCAAACATTCATACCAACGACCATATTATCAATCCTTTCTTTCGGTTTTTCAATTAGTGATGTATCATAGAAGATCGATTCCAGTTCTGTGGTAAAGCCAACCCTGATGCAAAGAGTTGAACTTTGTCGTGTTATTGTTTAAGATACAAAAAGGTGAGTATTTAGCAACAAGGGGCGGTGGCGCAGTTGGTTAGCGCGTAGGTCTCATAGCTACTGAGTGATCCTGAGGTCGAGAGTTCGAGCCTCTCTCGCCCCATAATCTTTTTTCCTAACTTTCTCCTCTTTAAAAGTTAAGGGGTTGTTTGGTATACGGATCTATTAAGACTGGATGAATGGTTTTAAAAATACTGGATTGGACTTTGAATCTCACAAGTCACAACCCATAATTCACTAATCAAACAAAGTGGTTCAGTCAATGGTAATTTCAATTTCCAAATCACAGTGGTCACAATCTATTCAAAAACTTATCTAATATAATACTCAATCATCAGTCATCACCAAACACACCCTAACTAATTGCGCATAAAACACGAACAAGGGCTTGGCCAGTTGGCCGCCTATAACCTGGAGGTCCCACATTCAAATCTTTTAAATAGTACATTAATGACAACAACATGAAATATATATCACCCTTATAAAAAAATAAATAAAAACTAATTGCGCATAAACTTTTTGTGGTGTAGTGATTAAATAAGTTACCTCGTCAAATTCAAGGCAAGGAATCCAGCCCTTCTTGATCATGTAATCAATCTCCTTAGCGACGGAGTCCTGGGACAGCGGAGGAAGGTAGGACAGCGTCTCGAACTTCTTGTTGTCGATCGGGTTCCACGTCTTCATGCAGCAAACCCTCGAACCGTTCGACACTGCAGCAGCCTTCCTCCTCCACGCAACATCCTTCCCCGAGAAGTAGAGCTGCTTCGTCGTCGCCGCCGACGAGTTGGATTTCAGGCCGTGGTATCCGGGGAGCGCGCCAACGGACATCCCTGCCGCCGATGACATTCTTACTTTCTTTCTCTTTCTCTCTCTCTCTCTCTCTTTTCTTTCTAGCTAAGGGAGATAGTGATGGACTTTGAGGAATGTGTTCAATACTTGAATTGATGCGATTGCATGCGTCGTGAGAGCGTTGGAATTTGTGAATTGAAGCGATGATGTGGTGAGCAGTTGATGTGTGAACGCCTTTACTAGGAAGGAAGACGACACTTGGTTTAAGGCGATGACGGCAGAATTATGGTGGGGGTGACATTTCTTTTGGTTATTTGCTTCGGTTGCTCCGTCATCACAACGGAGAGCATCTCTATGACCCCAAAACGAAAGCACTGTCTGTCATCGTCTTTCTATCCGTCAGGCCAGGCCCAGTTGTCGGCCCTCTGAAGAAGGCCTGCTTTGCGGGTCAGCCCAGTTGCCATAACTGGCCTAAGTTTCGGATGGATTTCCTTCTCATGCTTAGATTCGGGTACCCCTCCTTTTATAGGGGTGGCTATACGGTCCGGTCCGGTTAAATTGGTCCAAATTGATCCGGTCCGGTTAAATTGGACCAAATTTATCCGGTCCTAGTCCGATCTTTTCGGGAATATAAGGATCAAAGATTTGATTGGATACAGTCCGGTCCGGTCCCAATTTTATCTTGATTTTAGGTGTTAGGGGTCTCTTATCCGGTCTTTTACCTCAAATCTAAGCCCGAATATGAGATTGCATTGTTTGCTATCCGGTCCCAGTCCGGTCCTGGTCCGAGTTATACGGTCCGGTTTCGGGTAAAACCAAACAGTCCGGGACCAAATAGCCAGCCCTATTCTTTTATATGGTTGCGAGACAGAGTTGGAGGGCGTTAGTCATGGCAAAGAAACCCCCAAGCCGTAATTATGATCTTCTCCCTGAACACGGTGATGGGTCACAACAAGGATTGTCATTGTTCTTGTATTCCCCCTTTAGGAATCAGATGGTAAACAACCTTCCCACATGGTACTGTTAGTAAATGGTATATATCCACGATTGAACTTCTCCCAACAGCTCGAGTTATTGGGATCAATTGGTTCTTAACATGGTAAGAGCCTTCTGTGACCGTGAGGTCTTCTGTTCAATTCCCGGTGACCCTATCTGTTTCTGTTATTTTTGTTAAGCACATGGTGTCTGAAACTGTGCCTGTCCAAACTCCAAGCCTATCTGAATGACTTGAGTTTGAAGGGGGTGTTAATAAAACGATATATGATCCACGATTGAACTTCTCTCAACAACTCGAGTTATTGGGATCAACTGGTTCTCAACATGGTATGAGAGCCTGATTCAAAAACCTATTAGAAAAAAATCCTAAACTTCTTTTTTTCCTCCGCCGCCCATCATGAGTGCACAATCGCCTGGAAACTGATCATTGTTTCTGTTGTTGATTCAATCTCTTTCCCTTATTATTGTTCCTCTCTTCCGTAAGTTCCGTGGTTATTTGTCCAAGTTTGTCCATGCTAATCAGCTCTGTTGGTTGGCAAGAATAACAGCTCCCAGTGATTAACAAATTTTGGTCGTCGTCATGCCTTCGTCCGTATCCATCTCACAAGTGCTCGTTAAAGTGGAGAATGAAGGACTTTAACTAGCGCAAACTGGGTATATAAGCTTCTTCGTCACGTGAATTTGGGATTCCAGTTTAGAATGGATTGTTGGTGGATTTGAAGTAATTATAACTGGATTTTGGTATTGGTATGGGTTACTGGATTCTGTTTTTATTGGTTGGTTATGATGGAGAATGCAAAGGATTTCAAATGAAGTCGTCCAAGCGCGTCTCGGTTTGGTACAACCATAGGTTTCGTCCCTTTGGTTTCGGTTTGGAGGTGTTGTTCGGAACACCTTAGTTTGAAATATTGTTCGGAATATCTCAACTTGATAAATGCTATTCGGAGCATTTTTTATTTCTGTTTCTGTTTCGACGATGCTATTCGGAGCATCTTGATGGAAAAAATCCCAAGTTACACATGGTTTTAAAAAAAAATCTCAAAATACACACGTTATGAAAATAATTCCCAATCTACGCATGTTTGGGCCATCACCGCTGTCGACGAAGACAGTGATTGCATCACCGCTGTCGACGAAGACAGTGATTGCATCACCGCTGTCGACGAAGACAGTGATTGCATCACTACAGTACACGGCCGCGGTGAAGGCCTGACCAGCGTCGAAACTTTAAACAAACGTAACTTTGTGCTCGGTTATCCGATCGTAGCGAAAGTTTTTTTGATTTCGCATAATTTTTCGAGATCTTGCAAGCCGCAAATTGCCGTAGGCGGTTTGGTCCCGCCTTCATCTCGAAAATATGTCGTTTGCTACCCCGAACGAGCCTTTTTTCGATTTCGTCAAACTTTGAACGACCATAACTTTGTGCTCCACAATCCGAAAATCATGAATTTTTTTTGATTTCGCATAACTTTTTAAGGACTACAATTTTTAGTAGGAGAGAATTTTCAAAAAATGAATTATTTATGGATATAAGGGGTTTTGGGAATAACTTTACCTTCCTTTTCAGGAATCCAAGTACATTCCGAAAATATGTCTATGATAAAAAATGTAGTCCTTAAAAATTTATGCGAAATCAAAAAAAAATTCATGATTTTCGGATTGTGGAGCACAAAGTTATGGTCGTTCAAAGTTTGACGAAATCGAAAAAAGACTCGTTCGGGGTAGCAAACGACATATTTTCAAGACAAAGGCGGGACCAAAACGCCTACGGAAATTTGCGGCTTGCAAGATCTCGAAAAATTATGCAGAATCAAAAAAAATTTCGCTACGATCGGAGAACTGAGCACAAAGTTACGTTTGTTTAAAGTTTCGACGCAGGTCAGGCCTTCACCGCGGTCGTGTACTGCAGTGATGCAATCACTGTTTTCGTCGACGGCGGTGATGCAATCACTGTCTTCGTCGACAGCGGTGATGGCCCAAACATGCGTAGATTGGGGATTTTTTTCCCATCTTGATAGTTGTGTTACTGTTCGGAGCATGTGGTTTTGTTTCTGTTTGGACGATGCTGTTCGGAGCATCCTGATAACCATGATGCTATTCGTAGCACGTGGTTCTGTTAGTTCGACGGACTAGACGATTTTGGCAAAACCTTTTGTTATCTCCAGCTTATCACCATCGACGTTTCATGAGGCATTGGACATAGTCTTCATCGACATCGGCATATTTGGCGGAGCAGTTGTGTTTTCATTTTTTTTGTCACATTGTTTGTAGTAGTTTGTGTCGTTTTTTGTTTCGATTTTCAAATTGTTGGTAAGTAATTACCATCAATTTGGGGAGGGTATTAGAGTATATGTAGTACGAGCCGTATTATGTTATACTACGAGTACTGTTATGTAATTGGGCAGAGTTATATTCCTTATCAGAGTCGTATTAGTGCTCGGGTTATTATAGAAGTCAGTCTCTGTACTCTATATAAACCCTATGTGATTTCAGTAATAATACACAACAGTTTCCACCGTATTTTCGATTTCCCAACATGGTAACCCGAACACTAATACGACTCTGATAAGGAATATAACTTTGCCCAATTACATAACAGTACTCGTAGTATAACATAATACGGCTCGTACTACATATACTCTAATAGGTACGGCCCAGGAAAATTGGTTGCGGCCTCCTTCGCTGATGATGATGATAACAATGGTATCATTGTCTTTGCAGTCTCCTTTCCTCGCCGCCCAATGAACCATAGTGAGATCACAGTCAGCACATGCCGGGTGGTACTCAACAAGACAGGGGCGGCAGCGGCAACTACTGGTAATTATTGGGCCAAAGAACCAGCTTTTCGTTTTCCTTCCTTGGACAATGATGGGCGTTCAACATCCCAGCTCAGCTTGCAGTCAGTGGTGTACTTGAAGGGTACAGCAACTGCCTCGACTGTCATTATTAGGGGTGACAGTTCGATTATTTTGGTTATAACCGGTAACCGATCGGTCGGTTATCGGTTAACCGAAATAACCACCTTCTCTACTGAAAACCAATCAAAATAGGCTTTGGTTTCTCGATTATCTCGGTTATCGGTTAACCGAACCACTTTTAAAACCAAAAACCATTTTGTCCAGCCTCCGATAACCGACCGAAGTTCGATTATTTCGGTTACCGGTTAGTGGATAACCGGCCGGTTAACCGGTAACCAAACACCCACCCCTAGTCATTATAGTGAAAGGGAGAAAGTGAATGCTAAAGATGATCAACAGGTGAAGGGTGATATGAACAGAAATGTAGTGAATCAAGGCATTCTCCTTTCCAACAGCTCCGTGATGGGTGACGGTAATGCATTATCACCACGAAGCCGAAGAATGAACTCTTCATACGTGTTCGTGCCACAATGATTTTCCTCCTTGCAATGGAAATTATTCTCACACACGAATGCTCACTCAGGGCGCCTGGGTCCTGGACAAGAGTGCACAACAGGCTTGTAAGACTCGTTAGCACTCCGACGCCTAAGTTAGTTGCCTTTCCAGAGAGATAAGTAGAGGAAAAGTTTTAACGAGAGAAGCCAACATACTTAAATGCCACCTATCAAGCACTATTTATACTCCTCAGAACTCCAATCAGATTCCTGAAAATTTACCATTCGTCAGCACTTGCATTAAATACTTAGCACGGCGCAACGTTTGCGCGCTCTGCTACAATGTCAGCTTTCCTTTGGTCTGTCAGGGCGACCAGACGGGGTCCACTCGAAGGTTGTACTCTTTTGTCTCCACCTCTTTTTGTCACTTTGCGCCCCCTTCATCAGTATGTGGGTTCAACATAGTTTCTCCTCTCCTTACTTGGGCCACAAAACTGTCCCACTTCTTATATGGGCCTGGTTCTCTCGGGGCCTATCCATATTCTCTCAATAAACCTATCTCTCAACGGGCCTTTCTATATTCCCCCAACAATTTGTCATCTTCTTTTTGTATTGACGTTTGTTTATGGGATGCATACTGACTTTAGTGACGATGTGAGTGTTGGAGATTGTGAAGCGATGATGGGAAGATGTGGGGTGCAGTTTGTGTGTGAACGCCTTCTCCTTAACTAGGAAGATGACACTTGGTTATTTGCGTCGGTTGCTCCGTCATCATCACAACAAGAAACTTGGGAAATGTTTCTGCAGCTGCAGAAAATTAGATGTAATCTGGATGATTTGCTTGACTGTAATTCACCGGTGGACTTCGTCGGAATCAGAGAGCGATTGGCCAACGAAGAAGTTGGTTTGCTGTCGACATGGGGATGGAGGAATGATAGAACCAAGGATTTGGCTCTATCTAGTGATAGGAAATTAGGACATCAATTAGGGATTGATCTCTCAATTAGAACTATAGATTTGGAGTTGGGAGTTGAATTAGAGAACAGAGGGGAAGAGAAGTAGTGCTGCGACAGCCGACAACAGCTAAGGAGAGGGGAAATGAGGTTCTGCCGTTCTGGCTAGGTAGAGGAAGAGAGAGATAGTAGAGACGTAAATAGGTTTATAATTCTGCTTACTGAAAATAAGTCCACTAGTTCACTATTTATATAATTCGCTAAATACCAAATGCTACCCCGAATAATAAAACCCACAAATAATCACCAATAATATAAAAAAACTCATAACAAATAGCATACCGACAAAATGACCAAAATACGTAATAGTTCTTGTTTCCATCAAGGAAGCGCCCGACAAAGTGTGTTTGAAAGAAGCATTGGGTGTATTGTTCTTTGGGAATTGGGTTCAAAGAAGAAACCCTAACAGTGGCATTTTGTGTAAAAGCGTCCTGGCGTTTCAACTATTGGGCCTCCAAGAAAG